AATAATACCGTAAAATTCCGTTAATAAGCCCTGGGCGTATACTTTGCAGAGCGTCAAAACCGGGCGTATATTTGGGCGTGGGCGTTATTTCGGACGCAATCTGTAGAAGATCAATCTATCAGCAACCCACTAGTGTCAGTGAACCACCATTCACACTGAGCGCGGCACAGGTACAAACCACAGCTGGAAATTTGGTCGTAACCAAGAATGTAGCGATAAATTACAGATTTGATAGGTAAACCACTTGCTATGGTAAGTACAAGGCACAACAGGTACTGAAGTACGCTCGCGCGCTGGTCATTTTGAGTCCACTTTACGCCCTGGGCTTATTTCGGGCATGGGCGCTAAAACGGACTTGAAGTGTACACCGCCTAAAACTGGGCTTATTATCGGACATGGGCATTATTTAGGGTGGGCTTATTTACGGAATTTTACGGTATTAAACTCAGCCCTCAGCAACTGTAGCAACATGGTTGACGAGTATGGCCAAGAGTACATAACCCGGGGGGGTATGTACAGTACTCTGGGTATGGCCAAGAGTACATAACCCGGGGGGGGGTGTTGTTATGTACAGTACTCTGGGTATGGCCAAGAGTACATAACCCGGGGGGGGGGGGGTGTTGTTATGTACAGTACTCTGGGTATGGCTTACTGGACAGCTTGTGAATACATGACTGTAGTGTGTCTTATGGTCTACTAGAAGGAGCGTGCGGGATGAGTCCCTGCTTGAACAATGTTTAATGTCATGTCCTGGTATGTGTGTGTGCGTGTGTGTGTGTGTGTGTGTGTGTGTGTGTGTGTGTGTGTGTGTGTGTGTGTGTGTGTGTGTGTGCGTGTGTGTGTGTGTGTGTGTGTGTGTGTGTGTGTGTGTGTGTGTGTGTGTGTGTGTGTGTATGTGTATGTGTGTGCGTATGTGTGTGTGGGGGGGGGGGGGGGAGGGGAGTGTGTGTATTTGTGTGTGTGTGTGTGTGTGTGTGTGTGTGTGTGTGTGTGTGTGTGTGTGTGTGTGTGTGTGTGTGTGTGTGCTTTTGTGTTTGTGTGTGCGTGTGGGAGGGGGTGAGTGTGTACCGACTAGAACATTACATTGTGATGGTCGTTGTGTGCGTATGCAGGCCGAGCAGCAGCTGAGTAGCTGCTTCTCACTCGGATACAAGTATCGAGCCCTGCACAGCAACCACAATATCAAGCATGAGTGTAGCAGCATAGAGCTAAGCAGACTAGTATTCAACAACAAACAGCAAAGCAGTCTGTTACGTATCACATTCTCCAGTACCATAACTCTGTCAAGCGTCCGATCTGCAGCTAGATAGTTTGTTAGAATAGATGGCAGAGAGTGCACTCAACCGGCCAAACGTTTAAGTGAGAAACTTTCGCTGCAGATTAAAGTAGACTGTGCAGATTAAACTCGGCTAATGAGCCTGTAATAAATGTAAAATACTTCGAAGTAGAAGAATAAAACACAAGGAAACCTATTATAAAGCAACTATCCGCGACTGTAACAAGATAATAAGCAGTCAGAAGGTGCGATAACAGGGCACAAAACTGAGAGGCTACTTCTCCCTTCTTATCTTGTTACAGTCGTGGATAGTTGCTACATAACTCTCGTATTATATCCTTGTGTTTTATTCTTCTTTGTACAGATTAAATTATTTCGCGATTTTCACGACCGTCACGCATTCGCCAATATAGAGTAGATTGCCACAATTTTTTGAATTGTTCTGTACATTGATTGTAGACAGAACAAGATCCAATTGAACAGTTTTAATTGGGAAGGTTTCTCATCGTGAACCAGCACAATTCTTGAAAACGCAAATGTGCGCGCTGCAAATGTGCATCGCTTTAAAAATAACTGTGTGCTTCAGTGTGTATGGTGTGTGGGTGGGGGGGGGGTGTAACCCGGGGGGGGGGGGGGTGTAACCCGGGGGGGGGGGTGTAACCCGGTTTGAGCATTGTGTATTTTATTAAATCCTGTTCTGTGTGCACGTGCAGCGGCGGGCTGACCAGCAGCTGTGTGACCGCTTCTCACTGGGATACAAGTATCAAGCCCTTCACAACAACTTCCATGGCAACAATGGACAGAGCAGCGCAGAGTTAACCAGACTAGCATTCAACAAGAAACAGCAAAGCAGTCTGTTACGTATCACATTCTCCAGTACCATAGCTCTGTCAGGCAGTAGTGGAGGAGCTAGATTTTTCATTAAAATAGATGGCAGAGAGTGTGCTCAGCCGACAAAACTTGACATATTTACCTGGGGAGAGTCGCGATTGTGGGTCCATCGTCCCAGTGTATTGACAGGAGTATGTGCGGCAACCAGTTCAGGAGCCATTAGAAAAGGCCAACACGTGATCTCGGTACACCTGGGCAAACATCCTGATCACGTTCAAGCGCGTACTCAATCTGGATATGCGTCTCTACAGTATTTTGAGGTGATCGAGGTCTGCCCGCCGTTCTGAACAAAAGTTCACCATAGTTAAACATTGCATACACAGCATTGTGATATTTGTTCAGGTACAGATGTGTAGAGTTCAATTCTGAGTGATAATGCAAGCTGTTCTTCTTCTTCTTATTATTATTAGAGTTGACGATTTATGCTGAACTGAGCCTTTTAAAAGTTTTAAAACTCCATTACACTTGTGATGTGGTGGTTGATGGATAAATTCATGACACTGGAATGTTCAGACGAAAACCACGACACTGTCCAGGTAGTTTCGCTACTGGGAGAAGGATTTTAGATGAAGGGAGGGGGGGGGGGAGGGACACACTGCCATCATGCATTGCAATTGATTGCATACAATGTACATGTACATGTACGTCACACTAGCTCTTGTGACTAATACATGCACGTGTACTAGTATACGGTTGGTTTCTTGTGTGTTTACATACAGCCAACGCCTATACAATCATGCAGGTCATGACACTGGCCACCATATACCGGTGGGGTCCCAAGGCGCCCGGATAGGAGACGTTCAAGTGTAAGGCTGCGTTTGCACGACAACGATTTGCGTTTTCACGACAACGAAGTACAACCGAAACGGAACGAAATCGTTGCGTTTACTTCTATCGTTTACACGGCAACGCACGAAAACCCACCCGAAACGGAACGAAATGGAAACGCGCTTCAAAGCAGTATTGTACTACTCCCTGCATACACAACAGACATTTACTAAATTGGGTGTGTGTATAGGAAAGATCTTCGGATTTCCTTGGAGAAAAGCAGCAGACAGAAGGCAAGAGTCACTGGAAAATCCCTCGGTTCCTTTCGCAAAAGTACTCTTCAAATAAAGCTCGGTCCCATGGTGATATTTGCTTGTGAGCAAACAATTTACCGGTATACAGGTTTTACAGGCGGTCAGAGCTCTGACAGAGCGGCACCAAAACTTTAAAAAAAGGCAAAAGTGAGCACTATTCTGCTACTAGTCTGAGGAATAATGGTGCGAAAGCCCACATCGGATATCCCAGTGCCCTTCGTATATCAAATGCTAATTTAAATGACTTTGTACTGTATGGATCTCAAGTGTTCAGTGAGAGCTTGGCGCAAGATTGGCCGGGAATGATGGATAGCTTAGCGCTGCTTTGAGGGTTGTGAAAACCTGTGAAAGCCATGCATCGGCCAACCTATGTGTGCCATAGTCAAGAACTGTGCACATGTGGGCTGCTGAAGCGACGAATCCATCCAGACCTTCACTGCAGGGTTGGCGCTATATTCCTAGCTTTATGGAACGAAACAAGCCTTGTCAGGGGGAACACTACTTGCTTTCGTGTAGTGTGGCTGGTGAACTGTTCGTGCTGTCGTCTGCAAGCGTCGTGTGGAGGAACTGTTACTGTGTTAGATCTACCGGTATAATTATGTAGGTCTACGACGACGCGCTGACGTGACAGCATTGCTGTCAGCGCGTCGTCGTTGAGCTGCATGATGTACTTCACTGACACTCTTCAGCCTCGGAAAAACTGAGACTGAGAGAGTGTAGCGAGGAAGAAAGAGCCTGCATTTTACAATCGTAAATAATACAGTATACAATCATACTAATACGTCGGACTGCATTGTTGAGTGCCAACGTCCTGGGAGTCTCTTGAGTGTTCAGCGCTCTCTTCATAATCAGCGGTAGACCGACCCCGCAGGCGCAGAGGAGTAGAAGACGAAGGTGCACTGGGCTTGGAGTTGGAGCTCGATAGCATTATCCGTAGGACTGGCAGCGCAAAGCAGTGCTTTTTGCCTTGGGCTAAACAGCGTCGCCAAGGGAGAATCCGATATGCGATTTCCGAATAGTTCCGTTCAACTTTCAAGGTTAGGAATCGAGCCGCGAGTTACTGGTAGATCTACATGTAGGTGGCAACTTGAGCCAAGCTCAGGTGGCAAGCTTGTACTGTGAGAAGAACTATTACTTGGCGAGGAAATCAACTCGCCTACCTCCTGAACCTCAGTGGTGTCCACCCAAACAAAAGGACCCCGTGATCACTCGGGACAGCTATTCCTCGTGTCACATATTCCGTCTATGCAGTGCCACATTTTTTTGTGGAAAGAATGAGAGAGCCCAGATAAGACGAAAGTGTCTGTGTAGCGTAGAACCAAGAGTAGATAAACCTCCACTCTTGGTAGAACTAGAAGGAGTACATGTAGATCCGCCCAAGAAGGTCGTTTCTGGTCTGCCACTGAACATCGAGAGTACATGACCTTTGTACTCTTGCGTGTACCCAACATCAGTAGGCGTAGACATGTCAGTGGTAGCACAGTTGACTTGTGTCATCCAGGAGGATTTGTATGAGTCCTGGACCTACTTGTAGCTTGGTTTCATCCAAAACCAATGCCGCTGTTACGAATTTGTAGTACGACTATGATTTACGCATGTCGTTGTATTTGGTTCTTGTCTTGTGGAGTCCAGTGTCTGATGTCATATATGGTCTAGGTGTACGCGCGAGTATGGTGTGATGTGTGACGTTTATGGTATGTGGTGCATGCGGGCCAGGGGGAGAAGGCAATACTATTTCCTTTACACCGCGATGGTCTCTGAGAATCGGAATCGGAGTGATTTGGGGAGAGAGCTTCTATCCGTCGTGTCTCAGTACCTTTCTGCAAGCTCCCGACGGCACACGAGGCCAAGCAGATGTCTCCATGTGGGATGGACGACTCATGACCAATATTCTGTGCCACAAGTTTCAGGAACGTTGTGTAGATCTACCCATGGCCAGTGCATATCGATTCTCTGAGCTATACCAGGACCTGCAGAAGCCAGCAACCAAGGTCAGTGAAGTAAGCATGCTGTGTTGTAGTACAACCTGTATTTACAGACCACCCCATACCTGGTATTGCGCACAGAATGCCACCACTGCACCAGTCTTGATTGCCAGGTGGTCTTTCAACACAGGTTCTAATGCATGAAGTACTGTATTAAAAACGGCTAATTTTAATGCCATTTGAAACTCGGATGTTGAGCCAATAATATATGTAGAAAGGAAAGAAATATAGATACGAGTTGAGAGTAACTCTCCATCACTGCAACCAGATGTTATACAGTCAGAAAGTGCAACAACTAGGCACAAAACTGACAGAGTACTGAGACATTCGACGTCCTGACACCTAGCTTCAACACATCTCCGTAGCGCTAACCGACAGCCTTCCAACTTGGAAGGTTCAAGGTTATGGTAAGACCAAAGAGGGGAAGGCAAGCGCAACGAAAATGAGCACAAGCTACAGTCCCAACGGAAAAAAGAATGTTGATTGTTACTGGACGATGACGAGACCAGTACGATATTTGACAAAGCAGTCTAACTACAATTCGAAGCAGCAAAGCAGCACACCACCCAACTTGGGTGGGTCATAAATATCAAGGATAAGTAAAGAAGGGGAAGCTTTGCGAAAACGAATTGTACAAGCTGAAAGCCAAACTCCTACAGTACTCCTCATGCATGACATAGTGATGGACTAGTTGACTACAAAACAAGTTGTTTCACACGACGTACGTTTCGCCGTATGGTTCGTGACGGCTCATCAGGTGTGCAATTTGAAACTCGGATGTTGAGCCAATAATAAATGTAGAAAGGAAAGAAATATAGATACGAGTTGAGAGTAACTCTCCATCACTGCAACCAGATACTACAGTCAGAAAGTGCAACAACTAGGCACAAAACTGACAGAGTACTGGTACATTCGACATCCTGACACCTAGCTTCAACACATCTCAGTAGCGCTAACCGACAGCCTACCGACAGCCTTCCAACTAGGTGTCAGGACGTCGAATGTCTCAGTACTCTGTCAGTTTTGTGCCTAGTTGTTGCACTTTCTGACTGTATATAGTATCTGGTTGCAGTGATGGAGAGTTACTCTCAACTCGTATCTATATTTCTTTCCTTTCTACAATTTTAATGCCAGTGATATTTTAGCGATTCTAGCGAAAGGAGTGTTTTCCCTAACGTTTCGCAACGCCAAGCGAAATCCTGCATGTACAGTACAGTACTAATCATCTTCTATTTTATCTCTGAAACTCGGATTGCTAAAATATTTCATTGCAAATTGGTCCTGATTCCGAAAACGCTGATTTTTTACCCACTAACATCAGCCGTTCTACAGTATAATAGCACCTGTTTTAAAACTAAAACACTTCTCTGCATTTGGATGACCTGAATGCCGGCCGACTACCGGTATAAAGGGGTTTACCACATTGGGAGAGAACAATCGGAAACGGCGATCACGCTGGGGTCCACACCATGTAACTTTATACAGTGGTCCCTCTATAATCCGGCACCGTTTGTGAAACGGAAAATCTGCTGGATTAGGGAGGGTGCTGGATTAGGGAGGGTGCTGGATTAGGGAGGGTGCTGGATTAACAAATTGGATTTGCTGCTGCAATGTGCATGAAGAGGACATTTTGGCTACTGAAAATTGTCACGCGCATGTTTGTCGAGGGTGCTGGATTAGAGAGGGTGCTGGATTAGAGAGGGACGACTGTACACTAGAATATGATTGTGTATAATGACCACCTGGCACCTGGCACCTGGCACCTGGCACCTGGCACCTGGCACCTGGCACCTGGCCGTTTCACTATAGAGGTTCACAGTGATCACTCAACACATATTAGGGAGGTTTAGTCCCACGTAATCCGTGGGTACTTTACGTGTGTGCACCACGTGACACTCAGTGACCCACGTACAGACGTTTTCTGATTCACGACATACCGTGTATGGAGGCTCGCCCACGTTCCGCCAGAACGTGGGTGAAAATCAGAATGGAGCGCATTGTGCGAGCTGTAAAAGTGCTCAGCTGAAGAAGTTTCCGAAGCACGAAATCAAAATATTCGATGAGCTTCTTAGGCCCGGGTAGCTTCGTCTTTGACCAGGTTTGGGCCTTTCGCTTCATGCTTTTGTTTGTTCCGTGTGACTAAACACAACATTGCAACGTGGGTGCCCTTCATCCACTTTACGTGTATCACCCACGTACGCATTTTCGTTACGTGGGAACTAAACCTCCCTATTATATTTTGAAATCAAGACTTGATCCAAGAGAAGAGTGCAGCACCACAACATACGTGTGGTAGCCAGCATGTGTACATAGAGACAGAGCTTTGTCGAGTAGCGCCTTCTTAGTCAGGTATCCGGGACTTGGGGAATGTGGCACGAGCACCTTATCGGCTACTGTTACTATGGAAACACCACGGGTTTTCATTGTATCCTTCACACTGTAAGTCTGTAGGAAAAGCAAAGCATACCCGCATGGTGAGCTGCAGCTATTCTAGTCCTCTCTCCAGGAGCTGTCCAACCAGCCAAAGATCTTCAAAAATCGATCGGAAAACTACAGTGCTGGCAACTGAAATCCGACCCCCGGAGCGGTGGGTTCACATTCTTTGCGATGTGAGCGCACCGCTCAGGGGGTCGGATTTCAGTTGCCAGCACTGAAGTTGTAGAGCCGAAATCACGGTAGAAGCACTGTGCTTGGTAGCCGATCTCGTATGTATGTTTTGTGGATATTCCTTACCCGATTGACTGTAAGATCTGCGGGTAACGCGGGTGCTTGACTACCCGTGCACGGCCTAGAAGACAAGACACCACTCGGGATCATCAGCTGCCTACAGACTGCCATAAAAAGCATTACTGAGAAACTCTAAGCAGAAACTAGTCCCATGTGGTGTATTGTCTTTTATGTGTGTGGCAGCCACTCTAGATCTGGTATAGGACATGTTACAGCAACTGATGAAGGGTTCCCATGCGCACCCTAGTGCGGCGAAGAGGATAGAATGCGAGCGATTTCATCGCAGATCACAGGACAGCCCTTGCTTAGGATCACGTCCTGAGGTAGGGTGCATGCAAAATTCTTTTCTCGGAGGGCCTTGAACTGTGGAAGCACCTCACGTTGTCTGGCCTGCTCTTGTGATGTTTGAACACATCACGTCTGCCATATTTAGGAGTACGTCTGCTGTTGATCAACACTCTCTTTCCCTTCTCCGTGAGCTTTACTTTAAAACCAGTCTTGAGCCAGTAGGGGAATTCCCAGTGCTGGCAATACACATGAGCCGCACTTCGCTTCCGTGGTGCAACACACTCTGCACCGGGAGAACATCACCAGCACTGAGACCAGGAACTAGATTCTGGACTATGGATTGAAGCTGCTCACCGTCAGCCTCCACCAGGCCATGGAGAATAGCGTTGTTGCTGTGGTCGCACTTCGCCACTTCTTCCGCCATGACATCACACATGACATGTACTTGCTGTGTGCGCGAAGAGCGAAGAGGTCGTTTCGCGAACCAATGAAGCAAGGTCACCCTTATTGGGCAAGATATCCACCCTGATGTCACTCAGTTTGGCAGAGAAACCGTTAACCTGGCGCCTAAGATTGACGACAATAGCGGATTTCCCTCCATTGTCTACATCAGACTTGGCCTTATCACTTGCTGCCTTGCATTTATTCTCGCTCTTGTTTTGCAGTTGGGATATCTCTCTCTTTAGCTTGGTGATGCGGTTTTCAGGGCAGCGAGGAGACCCGCAAGTACAATCTTCATCTCTCCTCAAAATTCCCCTCGGAGCGAGTGGAGAGGCTGCAGTACATGCGGTACAGGCAGTACTAGTGAGCTGTCGTCAATATTATCACTCACGTGACACTCGCCATGTAGTGGTTTACTCACTCCTGCTCTCCACGTGGATTCGTTGTTCGTGCCTAAGAGACTCTCTGCAGGACTTGGCATTTAGGCCGGCTTTTTGGGCCAGCTTCAGACTTGGACCACTCTGGGTAGGATCAGGGCCACGACGTTATCCATTGCTGGATACACTACTTACGGATGACTGGTTCCCACCACGACCAGCATGGATAGGGGAAGTCATTCGACGCACACAATTGCCTACTGCTCCCGGCAAGATCTGTTTGTGGAGCGCATCTGAAACGCATCTGAAACGAGTACATCTGAAACGAGTGCATCTGAAACGAGTGCATCTGAAACGAGGGCAGCTGAAACGAGTGCATCTGAAATGAGTGCATCTGTTATGCGGTTTCAACATCAGATTATACCCTTGTAAAGTAGGAAAAATATAATATAGTAGGGAGTATTTCGATGCATTCCTGCTGCAATGTCTCATTTCCCTTCGAAGATAGGAGATGTTAGTCAAAAACAACATAGAAACGAAGAAAAAAAGTTGTGCACAAGGGAGGCTCGAACCCGTGCGGGGCGCAACATTATGGGAAGCAGGATGCTCAGAGGTACAGATTTGACAATGCTACCCAAATTCGATTACTGCATTATAATAAAAAGACAACTCTGACCGCACCCGTGTACCCGTGTTTTACTATAAGTACCTCAGGAACCTAGTATGCCGAGATAGCGGAACATAATGGGCCACACATGTGTGTTAATGCACAAACAAACACATGCCTGCATTCTTTAGCCATGTGTGGTTATGTGTACGCTGAACATAAAAGTGTTGCCACGGCAACGCACCCCTGCCGACATGCCGCCGAGATTGAATATTGATCCTGATTCAAAAGTTAGCTGTAACATTTTATCAGGCGTTCAAATCACCTTTTTGGTTCACAAACTCAATTTTGATGATGATAGACACTGGTGGAATTGACCGAGGTATAAATAGCATACCTAGTGACAGTTGTAATGTATCACTTCGGTGTTACATATACTAAAATTGGAACGATACAGAGAAGATTAGCATGGCCCCTGCGCAAGGATGACACGCAAATTCGTGAAGCGTTCCATATTTTTTTCCTCCCGGATGATCCCGAAAGCCATTCGGAGCCGCTCGGAGAACATTTTTGACCAAATCTTGTGCATGGATTTCAATGTCATTATTTTTTCTTCAGGGCTGCTCCCGTAGCTGCACAACTCCACAAAATATTCATCAAACTTGGCAAAGGACAACACCCAAGCCAAGGTGATGGAAATGAAGGTTTAAAGCCGACTGCGAAAGCCATCCGTGTCTTGTGAGTACTCGCTACAGTCCATTTCAAAACTATAGACGCGTAGAGTTTTTGAAATATTTCAAATTTGGCTGGAACCTTTTGAGAATAGTTTTCGGAATATTGCTCAGGACCGCTCCACGATTACTCTCATATAGTTTCTAAACGATTGGATAACAGACGCCCAATTTTGAAAAATTTATGCACAAAGTAATCACAGATTTTATGTGGTATAGATGCTGGTATAACGGTTTTTGCCTAGGTACGCGTCTATAGTTTTGAAATGGACTGTAGATATATTAAGCACTCCTGATGCAAACAACAGCTTCGGTACTGGAATCTTCCATGCTGTATTGTTGGCCTTGATGTTCAGCTCATCCCTTTGTACTTGCACACTGGGAAATCAGTCACCAGCGCTAGCTAGTGAGTGCGTTCGATTATGCCCGCGAATTGATTCATGAATCCATTCATGAATCGATTCGCGCTATTCCACATCACCCAATGCGAATAGGGTGAATGGATTCCGAATCGATTCCAGGGCTCATGACATGAAAATCGAACGACTTGAATGCCCTTGAATCGATTCATGAATCGATCCAAGTGCGTAATCGAACGCACTCAGTGAGATACTGTTGCACTACAGTGTAGGGTCTGTGATTAAAACATCAAGCTGTCAGCTTTGGAGCGCAGGCTCTTGTGTCGTGTGAGACTGCCTCGGGCTATACACTGAGTGTGTTCGATTATGCCCATGAATCGATGATGTTGAACCCATTTGTGAATCGCCCCTGCCACACCGCCTCATGTGAATAGGGTGAATGGATTCCGAACCGATTCCGGGGCTCATGACATGAAAACGAACGACGAGATTCCAGTCATGAATCGTGGCAGTAATCGAACGCACCCAGTGAGCCTTCTATTCATGATCAGGCAGTGGGTAGTGAGAATTCAGTGGTGCTCAATCTAGTTTCAGCCGGATCTGACACAGACCCCGTACGAAAGAAGAATACGCAGAGGGCTTCGTAATGCGGTTTCATCCCTGGCCGAGTCAAGATGCCGTCCCGTGGAAGTATTGGCCCCGGGATCAGTCAACTTTACACTGTCTCATGCTCGGACATTTATTGGATGGATCTGCATTTGTGCGGACCTTACTTTGTTGTGCTTTTATATCGCTAAGCAAATAATTATGGCGACATATACAAATGTCTGTCCTCGGTGGGCTGATCATTGTAAACACTTGCACAATGCACACACTAGTATTCAAACTGAGTTGACCACGTCCCAAAATTATAATATAATCTTATGTAGCCAGGACACGTTGCATTTTTTTTATTAATCTAAGGCCATCATTTTTTATAGCTATGTTTCGCGTCGTCCGCACGCATACGTTTTGAAGTTTTTCGGAAAAAAATCAAAAAAATCTTACATGCACGGTGAGTGTACGATCGTGCGAGTCATCAGTGTGGACTGGTTGCATACGGCGAAGCTGAGATTCAGAAATGGCCTCTAGGCCACCGTTGGTAAATCGTTTGTTCGGCATCTGGGAGCAATATTCTATGAGCTAACACCAGACAGCATTGGTCGCCTGAAGCTGAGAGGATGCGTCGTTCCGGAGGTCTTTGCACCGCTGCTGAAGTCTGAGTACAATAATCCAGCGAAGCATAGGCACCAACGGTTGCCTCCTCTGTCCAAAGTGAATATTTACTCATGCTGATAACCCAGATGTTGTCCTTCGATGTACGATTTTTCTTTCGAATGTTCACCATGCACGAGCTATTGTGCTATGTACCGTGCATACACCTCTGATGAGCCTTTCTTATTATTTGGCAACTTTTTATTTTTTCCACCTCTCGCATATGATTCTGGAAGTTGAACTGATGCGAAACATAGATATAAAAAATGATGGCCTAATGCACGGGAAGATTGTACAGAATTCATTCATCAGACTTAGTAAGAGAACCCCCACAGATGGGAAACTCCTGCATGGAGTGCTATCATGACAGAATTTCACGTGGACGTCATTTTTACGATACAATGCTCCTTGGACGCATGCTTTGCAACATTCGTATTATGATTATGGCATCAGTGTGACCAAGAGTACATAAGTAACATAACCCCCCCCCAGAGTGTGCAACGCCTGATCCAGCTCTGCATAGGGTCTTGGTCGAGCGTACTTGTAGTACATGTAGTTGGATCTTCTGATGTCATACGTACACTCCACACCAGCGCAAGGCCGGTCCCGGGGGTACCGTTATTTTTTGATCCGAGAGTCCCCGGATTTCCCTCAGATGTGTACCGTATTATGGTGCAAAGATCCGATTACGCTCGACCAAGACCCTGTGCAGAGCTGGATCACGCATTGCACACTCTGGGACGGGGTGTATTCTTGGTGTGACTTGTGATTGCTTGCACGGTATGTTCAGAATCAAATGGAGATGCATTCATCACTAACGTGTCTTGTGTGTATCAGATTATGTCTGAACTACATGATGTACACTGTGCAGTGAGCTAATAACATGCATTGGACGGGGGTGCATGGCCAAACGAGATGCGTGCTTGAGCTGGGTACAGTCAACTTCGCTTATAACGACACTCGGCGGGGCATCAAAAAAGTGTCCTTATTCGTGAAGTGTCGTTATACACGAAGTCTCATTATATGTATTACAGTTGGAAGGGACTTTGCTCTGGGCATGGAAATGCTGTCGTTATTCGCGAATTGTCGTTATATCCGCAGTCGTTATTAGCGAAGTTGACTGTACATTCATGGTCGGGGTACATGACGAGCGAGGTACATAGGTGAATAGTGTGTGTGGGTGAGTGGGGCATAATAAATTATGGACATGGGTGAGTGGGGAATATGATTAAGTGAGGTATATGGGTGAGTGGGGAATATGATTTAGTAAGATATTATGGGCCAGTGGAGTACATTTGTGGGCAGGACACGGGGACGAACGGAACATTTGGGTGAGTGGGAACGTTGGTGAGCCGCATCTGTAGATGAGCGGGTATGTATGTGTCGCCGCGTGAACGGCTACCGATATATGGATAAACGGAACAGGAGGGAATGCATCTTGTCACTCCCTTGTGCATGGCCAACGCTCTCCAGCTACTGTACAGGCAGAAAATTCCATCGGTCAATAATTTGGTCCGACTCCAAAGAAAGGGAGTTCGTCCGGTTGTAAATTTCGTCCATGGATCATAAGAGTGTATTGAAAAGCTGGACAAATCGACATTAGCCCGGCATTTACATTCTGCCCCATGTTTAGTGCATTCAGAAATCGTGTTTATTCTGCCCTTCTGTGCCCGACAGATTCACACCATGGCAGGCTGCACTCCGCAATGTCTGTTCTGTTAGCTATGTCACAATGCAGTGCACAGGGATTGCTGGCTCACGGACATCGGGCAGGCCGCAGCTCAAGATACTCTCACGTGCCGTACGCCTGCCATGAAGAATATGTCAATATCGTGCGGCCCATGGCATCATAATAAGAATATTGCAATGATGAGCATGCATATGGGATATTATTTTATTTTTGAGTACCGTAAAGTACGAAGTAGTGTACCGTAAAGTCTTGTATAAAAGCCGCACTTGAAAAGAAGCCGCCCTCGAATAGAAGCCGCAATTTTGGGCCCATCAAATCACACAAATTGCCTGGTTTTAGTGTTGACATACATAGAAATACCTGTCTCATATAGAAGCCTGCAAAATTTCACCAAGAAAATCATAGAAGCCGCGGCTTTTATACAAAACTTTATGGTATATGCAGTGCTGCCAAGTATTTTTCGCCCAAAATCGGACACCCTTCACCGCCAAGGCTGGCCACATGGTGCGAATTTTTCTCCTCAGAATTTTTTTTCCAGAGAATTCAAAATATCGCTCAAAATACCATGAAAATTCGCTTTGTTGCCTTAGTAACCGATATGGCACCCCTAAGTTGCCATGCATTTTGTAATGCACTGTGCCATCCAGGCATTTTACTTTAGCGCTAGCCTTTTTATACGCTCATGTACATTGATTTGTGCCTTTAGTTGCGCTGAAAAGTAAAAATACAGGATTTCTTCATTGAGAATAACTGATCCCTGACATTTTGGCTGCTTTTCGGACTTTTCCTTTTTCGGACCGGTTTTCGGAAGAGTCTTCAAAAATCGGACACTGTCCGAAAAATCGGACGGTTTGGCAGTGCTGTATATGGATAACCCAAAGGCAATGGTACGCATGTGAGTGTGAGTGTGTGTGTGTGTGTGTGTGTGTGTGTGTGTGTGTGCATGTGAGTGCATGTGCATGTATATGCATGCATATGCATACCCCTGTGCATGTATGTGTATGTGCATGTATGCATATGCGTATGAGTACATGTGCGCATATGCATACTGCCATACTCCGGTGTAGTGCTTCTTCTGTCAACACCAAATCCGACTACTGATTTTCGCATTTGACAGAACATGACCTGACATGATGATTGCATACATCAGGCAAGCATTCTATATTCAACCTTGTATATGTACCTGGTCACATACTTCTTCTATTGGCTGGCTCTGTTGTTGATCATTTTCTTGCTGTGATCTACTTCACCATGTCATCCTTGGATCCTGCAATAGTGTGTTGTCATCCTATTTGTCTTGTGAGACATCAGTGAGTGTGTCCATGGGTAAATGACTGCTGCACAATCATGATAATACGGTGCAGTTCATCAATATCAAAATAGTTCTATACAGGTGATTAATATACATGTACATGTAGCATGATTTTTGCAGACAGGGTGTTGCATACCGAACTCTTTCACTGTCCTTGCATTATGCATATGCGGATAATGCCGGCAGAAAAATTGGCAGAATTCGGTACTTTTTCTGGTAAGTTTCATGCATGTTTGGTATGTGGATAAAGAAATGGAGCAGAATCCAAGGAATTGCCCGCCATAAGGTTTGTATGGTTCTGCCAATTTCACTGCTTTTCGAGCATTATCCGCCAATGCCTACCTTGCATACATGTAAGCTATTAAGTGCTGTATGTGGTCATCTAATCTTGCATGTGTCCTTCACGGTTCACCTTGTGAAATGCTATTACAGAGGTCCCTTTATAATCCGGCACCATTTGTGCTACGGAAATTGTGCTGGATTAGGGAGGGTGCTGGATTACAAAATCTGATTGTCTGCTGAAATGTGCACGAAGAGGACATTTTGGTTGCTGAAAATTATGCTGGTCTATAGAGGGTGCTGGTTCATAAAGTGCTGGATTAGAGAGGGACGACTGTATCGTCATGCATTGTGTTGCTTCAGTACGTGTATACTTAGGGATGTTCTACAACAGACTACAATCAGATTCTGAGGGGTGGTTGACACATGCTACTTTTCAGGATAATAATTACGGTCTTCGTTATCGGATTGGGAGAAACTTCAAATTCACTCTTGCTCTTTTTACTATCATGTGTGTTCTATTTCGGAGGAGGGTGCTCATGTGCAAAACCGTGGCCATGTGCAGTGTGTTACATGACAGTAGTAATATACATGTACAGGCGGAAGCCATTCTGACAGGAGTACAGCAGCATTCGGATATCAATAAACAGATCTGCATGTGATTGCAGCAAAGTGGCAATACCTTGTCCTTGTGAACATACTTTCTAGCATCATGCTCCTCCAGCACAATACTACACACATGTGATGAGATTGGGTAATTCATTATTTTGTGGTTACATGTAATGACGCTCCATTCATGTTGATGCTGAAGTATTAACTTTGATCATTGGTTTTATAGAGCCCCATTCTCTACATGTAGGAGATATCTACATCTGCTCTGTTTCAATGTCCAGCATAAGCGAATGTGTGGATCAAGCAGTACTGCTCGGTTGACGCTGCCGGGGGGAATGCGTATGATAACTAATACAATCATGCAGTTTTAGAGCTTACCAGAAGCAGATAGCTAGCACTCAGAGTGATGTGAGATAGAGTGGGTGCGTCAACATGGTCAAGCCTGGCGTGTGCCACATAGCATTCAGTAGTCAGTAGTCAACAGTGCTGTATCATTGACCGATTGTCTTTCACTGGTGCACTAGTCTATACGAGTATACCGGTATACAGTGTACCATAAAGTCTTCCACTGCAGTCTGACTGTGTGTAACAACCTTGCAGAGGTCAAGGAAGATCCAAAGAGACTAGGTATTCCATCGTTACCGCCAGATCATGGATGCTGATCAAAATGCAGCCAACAAGATCTTCGTGAAAGCGACATGCTTACATGATCATGGGTTTCTGAAAATCTTTCCGTGAAGATTCACATCTCCTTTCAACTACCAGACATAAAGAGTAGACTGCAATGTACGGCTCGTACTAGACCACTCTTCAACTCTCTTGCTGAATGCATTGTGACAACGACGAACTGAACTGAAATCGGGAGTTGTTCGACAAAAGTCAAGCAATCGTACTGATTGCAGAAACTAGTACAGGTCGTCCCCCGTTAATACGAGTCCGGTTAGTACATAAACCCCGTTAGTACATAAGAAATCTCAAGTCCCGGACGAAACGTGGTCACTTCCATACAAATTTTGTCGGTTAGTACATAATCCGTTAGTACATAAACCCCGTTAGTACATAACATTTCTCCATACCCGCATGTCACCTACCTCAATAGTACATAATTTACTGGTCTTTTGGCCTTCCAGTGGAGGCACATCGTGTTCTAGTTTCTACTTGTGGATGCAATTAGCATAGAAATCAGAGCGCACATCACAAACCGACAAAGCTCTGTTTTTTTTCCGAGTGACTGTACAGGTGCGGCTGGGCATGTACCATGTCAACTGTAGAATCTTCGCTAAATGTGACCGTTATAACATAATTTTTATGTTATATCGAGGGAATCAAGAATATCTCGCTGCCTAGTCATGGTATAGTAGCAAGAAACACTCAGAAAAGTTGAAAAAAGTGAAAAATTCTGGTATACAAGCAAGTTATGTACACTTTCGTTTAGTACATAAACCCCGTTAATACATAACATTTGTCAAGTCCCAGAGATTATGTATTAACGAGGGACGACCTGTAACAACTACATGACTGTACAACTCTCTCAGTCTGACAACAATGCAAACGATCCACCGTATACTGCACTAGTATACATACCGCAGCCAAAAATCATGCAGCGCAGCATTGACTCTGCAAAGCCCATATTTGTGTTCGGTACGAGACTGCAGTGACTGCACTGGTTCCATGTGCATGTGCCAGGCCCTCTGCTATGGCGTGATCTGTGTGTTTGTTTTTGTTTTGGGGTTTTTCCTTATCTTTTGTACAAGTGCCGGCACGTTCGGGCTCTCCGCCTTCTCCGTGAAAAATAAAAAACTGAATGACTGACTAAACCAAGAAATCATAACAAACAAACAGACAAACAACTAATAAAATGAAAAATGAAAATACTGTAGTCCCTCTGTGTTTACATTTGTGGCATGCATGCAGACTTGCAGTAGCTGCGCGCGGGGCCGGGGCCCCCGGGGGTCGGGCTGGCGCTTGGGCCCGCGCGCGGTACGCGATACGCGAAACAATGTCACCACCACTACGGACCCGGTACGAAAGTCTTGTAGACTACACCAACATGTTCCATGCACTGTAGTAGTCTACTACGGTACTGTTCTGTGCTGTGGAACACCAAATCTGGCATGCGATTCTCGGAAACGAGGTGACGCTACACTGAATGCGTACAACTAAATTGTACATTCTCGGAAATCAAAATCCTTCTTGGACCTGGCCTGGATATGCTACCACTGACGTGGCCCACAAACTACAAGAAGAGGTGTCGGAGTCCAGTCCAGATCATTCCTCGACATTTCCATCTCGATTTTACTTGTTTTTCTTCTCTTCTTCGTTTCAACTTATCAAAATGTGTGACGACGACGTTGCCGCTCTTGTCGTAGACAATGGCTCCGGTATGTGCAAAGCCGGTTTCGCCGGTGATGACGCACCCCGTGCCGTCTTCCCCTCCATCGTCGGTCGTCCCCGCCACCAGGGTGTGATGGTCGGTATGGGCCAGAAGGACAGCTACGTCGGAGACGAGGCTCAGTCCAAGAGAGGTATCCTGACCCTCAAGTACCCCATTGAGCACGGTATCGTCACCAACTGGGATGATATGGAGAAGGTGAGGATTTTCTTGTGTCTAAATTTCTCTCCTGTCAATTATTTTGTCATTACGGAATATGTGTTGTTGTTATGGTCAGTTACACGTAGAACATGCATTTGCTGGTATTCCCTGCCTTTCGAAGCTATCCTCACATGATGCTTCGCGTTCACTGTGGCAAAACTTCCAATGTGTAGGCAGTGCTTGGTAAGATTTCTGGGTTTGGTTGTTAGTTATTAATTTTGTGTGTTTCCATGTTTATTGCGTGTCTGCAGATCTGGCATCACACTTTCTACAATGAGTTGCGTGTTGCCCCCGAGGAGCACCCCGTCCTCCTGACCGAGGCTCCCCTCAACCCCAAGGCTAACCGTGAGAAGATGACCCAGGTATGCCTTTTTATAATTTACTTGTACTTGTAGATGGGTTGTGCACTCACTTCTCTTCTCACAATTTGTTTGTATTGTTGCATGCTTCATTATGTCTCAGGTGTGTTTACTGTGTTTTGTAAGGTGCGTATTTGTGGATTATCTGTCAGAATGGTGTGTATTGCCGGTTCTCTAGTGTTACTCGCATGTCACCTGAACATATCCTTACCAATTTCTTTGCTTGTTTCTGTTTCTTGTGTAGATCATGTTCGAGACCTTCAACACCCCCGCCATGTACGTCGCCATCCAGGCTGTGCTCTCCCTGTACGCCTCCGGACGTACCACCGGTATCGTCTTGGACTCTGGTGATGGTGTGTCCCACACCGTCCCGATCTATGAGGGATACGCTCTGCCCCACGCCATCCTCCGTCTCGACTTGGCTGGCCGTGACTTGACCGACTACCTCATGAAGATCCTCACCGAGCGTGGTTACTCTTTCACCACCACTGCTGAGCGTGAAATCGTCCGTGACATCAAGGAGAAGCTCTGCTATGTTGCCCTCGACTTCGAGCAGGAGATGGCCACCTCTGCCCAGAGCTCCTCCCTGGAGAAGAGCTACGAGCTTCCCGACGGTCAGGTTATCACCATTGGCAACGAGCGATTCCGCTGCCCCGAGGCTCTCTTCCAGCCATCCTTCCTCGGTATGGAGCAGTCTGGAGTCCATGAGACCACCTACAACTCCATCATGAAGTGCGACGTCGACATCCGTAAGGACCTGTACGCTAACGTTGTCCTGTCCGGTGGTACCACCATGTACCCAGGTATTGCCGACCGTATGCAGAAGGAGATCACCAACCTTGCCCCACCAACCATGAAGATCAAGATCATTGCCCCACCAGAGCGCAAGTACTCCGTATGGATCGGAGGCTCCATCCTGTCTTCCCTCTCCACCTTCCAGCAGATGTGGATCTCCAAGCAGGAGTACGACGAGTCCGGCCCCAGCATTGTCCACCGCAAGTGCTTCTAAATGTTTGTCTTTTTTTTAAGTCTTATCTATGTTTTAGCCAATTTTCAAATTCATTGTATCCGCAGGATTCGGATACTAGTTTCAGAGCATCAAATTTGTTATTCGAAAAACACAAGCTTTTAACTCCCACTTCTGTCCTCATGCTGACTGCATGGGTTGTTGGTGACAGTCTCCTTGCGCAATAATTGCATGCTTGATTGGCACCTTGCTGTGCCTGGTGTTTTTACCAAATGGGGTGCATGGTGGTGTTTTGCTAGAACCAGCAAGAGTTGAATCAGTTCCAAGGATTTTTACTGCTGTACATACACACAAGAGTATGCATGGGGGAGTATGGGGTGTACTTTTCACACTCTTCATGAATATTGCCCAGGCTGAAAACGGTGAATAAAGGACTCCTGGTTTCAGGTGTTGACCGGGGAGTCGTAAAATACCGGTATTTTACGACTCCCTGGTGATGATGACATGTACTAGTACTAGTACGCTAGCTCGCAGCAAAAACAAAAATTGAAATACAAGAATAATAATGAAACAGTCAAACAAAATGAAAATCATTCAAATGTAACGAAGTTCAGAAGTTTGTTTTTCCCTGCCTGGCGAAGCAAGCCAACGATGTATGATAATTGCGGGAGTTGACAAGCGGTGAAGTGTCGGCGTTTTCAGCAGTGCTGGCTGAGCTGCAGTGTACATGGGCTATATGACGATCTGCTATGGTTGTGCGAGTGACAGGAATCAAGGTAAGCTTCTCCACATCACGTGAAGCTGATTGGAAAGTACACTCGGACGTCTCTTATCAGGGCACTGCCCGTATCTCAGATTTGCCCATATCTCCGGATAACTCCTCTACACCATGTATCACATCATTTTTTGAAGAAGTTTATTTGGAACGTATTGCACATGTTCAGGATACAAAAGGAACCCATTAGACACCCTTAGCAAACATCGGTATAAACACTATATTTTACGGTACTCGTACCTAGATCACCCAAATAGCGTTGAAGCTGCAGCGTAAAACGTTATGGGGGCTGATTTATCGTTGTGACCAACGGTACGTTTTTTGGCCAAATATTGCATAGTCCGTACGAATTTCACCTTGTATCGCGTATATGGTGACATAAATGGTTGTACCGCGCGCGTTCGCGTAAATGCTATTCTCGTGGCAACAGCGTACTAAAAATAGTGTGCATCTTGCTAAAGGTCGAGCCCAAATCACGGTATTTTCCCCCTTACGATAATACCGTTACAACATAACGTTGTTTGCTAAGGGTGTCTATTGATAAAAATGTGTGGATTACATAGGTTGGCAGTGAAAAATAAGCACTTCCAAATTCGGAAGAAACGTTCAAAACCCCCAAATTCTAAGCATTTGTGCTATAGGAACTCAAGCTGAAGGTGCCCGGTAGAGAGACGTGCCCGTATCTGAGGCGTCCGGATAAGAGGTGTTTGAGGCGTCCGGATAAGAGGTGTTTGAGTGTACTGATTTGTCTGCACCAAACCTGCTGTGGAAGTCAAGTGGAATGTTTGAACGGTGAACTTTAGTACTGTAAGACATGCATATAACGAGGAAGTAAATCTAACGTTTCAACGGATGACATTTCTTCGTTATAATAAGATTCGTTGAGGCTGTAATGCTTCATATATGTTGTGTGTGGATATGCTGGAATACTGCACGATCGTTGTCATATCGCCTCGTTAACCTATGAATTTTGGATAATCGTTTAATTTGCGACTCGTTATAATAACATGTCTTACAGTAGTTCGAAACACACTCAGGTTGCGTTTGATTGGGCATTTTCAGAATGTACTACTTGTAGTAAGGGCGCGTTCAGACTACCGATAAAAAGTAACGGAATGGGAAAGTTTCCAAGGTGGTTTGATCACGTGACGTTACTGGCACGCTACGGGCGGAACACTTTTACTGCCGTGGCAGTAAAACGTTTCCGGCCGTAAAAAGAGTGCTCAGGCTGGGGAGAAAGGGAAAATCTCTTCTCAGTGCCGCGGTGAGAGCTGCAAAACTTGCGTGCCGGTAACGTTAGTTTATCGGTTGTGTGAATGTCCTTCACGGTTTATCGACATTCACGGTTTGACGGGATTCACGGTAGTCTGAACTAAAATGACAACCATTCTGGAATGGGAATGGGTAAGAATCACCTGACCAAACAAACGCGCCAGGATCAACTAGGAATCACTTGATATAACAATTCCATGATTTATTTGTGGAACGGCAGCTCTCTTCTCTTTTACTCGGCTCTAGTTTTCTTGGGAGAGTCAACATACTTCTGAGTGCATGATTTGAGGCACTTGAACCTGTTGCTACATTGTTTGGCTCGTGGCAACCATTATCATTAATTTTTTGATTCCAGAATGAGAATGCTTATTGCAGCATGCGAGGTGGAATGATCATTCTCCAAAAAGAATCTTCTCCTGTCCCCATGGAAATTCTGCGGGACAATCCGCGGGGAGAAAAACGTTATTCTGCGGCGCTTTCCGCGGCATAACGACAAATCTGCGGCATTTTCCGCGGTGCGGTGAAAAATCTGCGGCATCGTTATATAAGCTTGAAGCCTGGAGTAAATATCGGAAATTGAAGAAAGAAATGGGGAGTCACTTGCATAAATATCATACTACTCGTATTTAATAGTTAAAACTCCGATACTGAGCCAATAATAAAATGTAAAAAAAGAGAAGAAACACATGAGAACGTTCGTGGATAGTTGCTGCATAACTCGTTCTCATGTGTTTCTTCTTTTTTTTAAAACATTTAATAGTTAGATTATTATTTTATAGTTGGCTGTCAGAAGCGATGAGTGATAGTACAGGGCCGGCGCTACTGGTAAGGCTGATGCGGCCATGGCCGTACCAGTTTTTACTAATTCTAGCGTTCATGGGCGGTTCAGTGATTGCAGGAATATGTAGCTGAAACAAAACAGATATGAAGCATAAAGCTAGAAATGTGTCCTCCCAGGATTTTGAAATAGGACATGGGAGAATAATCAGTCCTGTAGCCGACCTGGGGCCGTACCACCCCTCAGGAGCTGGCTCCGAGCCTGTGTTGAAGAACCTGAAGTGTTAATATAATTGGCTGTGAGAAGCGATGAGTGATAGTGTTAAGTATTTCATGTAAATATTTGATATTGTAGTAGAGTACAGAAACAACATCAATAGAGTGCGTTCAAGCGAGATGTTGTATAAGAGCCGGTGCTCAATGCAGCAAGAACAATGAAGCTCATTTCTCAAAGGCACCACACTCCACACCCAAGTTGTGGTAAAGCATCACTAGTGCTTTCAGTGTTACCTTTGACAATGCCCTGCGACGGTCGGTGCAAACTAGATTGTATAGCGAGAAGCTGCGCTCAGCATCTGCGGAATTGTTGACGGCACGCATGTAGCGCTGAGCTAGATGAGCAAGAGCAGGCACTTCCTGAGCAACCAAACTCCAGAAAACACCGATGTTCCCTGTTGCCTCCTCAGCTGCTGCTGATGAAAGTACAGCATCTGGGGCCAGTTCATCGCAGTACTGCTTGAATTCAGCTAGAGATACCTCATCAAATCCCGGAATGGCAGAGTATGTCTCCATGTTCCATGGCATAATAACAACCTTCTAGGGGTTGTAGATCCGTACTGCCTTCAAGAATTCGGCTGCAGGCTGTCCATTCGTTGAAAACTACTTCTTCAGTTTCTCCGAAGCTGTGGAGAAAGCTGCCTTGAACGAGGCTAGCATAACCTCTTTCTCATCCTCGTCCAGTAGGACACTGCCATACAGGCCAGGAGCAGTCTGCCACGGTCAGAAACTCGTTGGCTTGGCAGTCACGGCTGAGTGGCTGGAGTATATCATATGCCAGCAAGGTACAGGGCCTGCGGCTTTGGAATCGATCGTTCAGCTGCACCAGAGGCTTGCAGTTATCGGAGATGAAATCCATTTGCAGCTGGAGCCTGTGCCGGAGCTTTTCGTTGGCCATGCTGGTGGAAAGCTCTTTCACAGATGCTCGTGGCTGTGAAGACACCCTCATATCTTCTTTGATGAAGGCAGGATAAGCATCCACGAATACAATATGGTAGCAGACACAGTCGTACCAACCTCCCCACCGAGTTGCGATGGGATTTGGTGCCATTGTCACCGTTGGCTTCTTGCCCGATTCCGGCTCTGGCAATCCCAGTACGTAAGACTTGAGATGCGCCAAGCAACGAGCCTTTCTGCCACCAGCTAGGTTAAATGTCTTATTGAACCGACGCACACAGTTGTTCACTTCCTCAAATGGATGATGGAAGCTGTCTCCGATCAAGTTGAGGATGTGTGCGAGACATATCACGTGGACTGAGTTGGGGAACAGTAATGACAGTACATCCGTAGAAGCCCTTTATTTATATGCTGCATTATCTGTATCAAGTGCAATGAGTCGTGACATTCTCAAAGGCAACTCCATAAGACGTTACTGTTAGGGTCTTGACCCGCACAGCCTGGGACACAATGGCATTGTTGGTTTTCTCCAGAAACACAACATTCAATAGGTATGCATCCAGACAGCCATGGCTGCTGACAGTCGATGTGCTTGCAAGTATGTTGAGCACGTATCGTCCAACATCGTCGCTCATCTCGTCCAGTATAACACACAAATCTATACCAGGGATTGTGGCGTTCCGGCTCTCCACATGTTCGTCAAACAAAACCGGTAAATAGTGATCTTGCAGCTGTATTCCACCAGGTAGAGCCCCGTCATTCTTCACTCTACTGTTCAGGAACTCCTGGATCTTCAGATGATCAGACTTTGACAGAGGGATGTTTGCAGCAGTCAGCGTCTTGACCCATTATTTGACCCGTGAGAGTTTCGCCTCCTTCGACACGGTAGCAGCGCCCATTGTACTGGTTGCAGTGCGCTGGCGCTTTGCGGGGTTCACATCTTCACATTCTGACTGCTGCTGTCGTTTCAGCGTGTGACTCTTGCAGGCCAAGTGGTCTTGAACAGTCGACTTTCGAACGTGATCTCTTACCTTGTTGCAAACTCTACAGAAACGCTTTCGACCATCCTCATACAACTGCGAAGGGCTTATCTTTGCGCGATCTTTCGCCTTTCACACACCGGGCCGTTTTCGACCGGTTGAGCTTACGTACAGCAATGTGCTTGTCCACGGTCAGCAGAACAACAGCACGATTAACTCCAGCGGGAGTGAGCCTGTCCAAGGGAACGGGACGTGCAAGCAGATGAGGACTTTCCAGTTGTTTTGCTTGGCCCTCTTCTGCCTAACACGCCGTGGCATTGTCGACCTCCCTGGCGTTTGTGAAGGTAGGCAAAGCAGTTCTTACTTCTTAGGCTGGCGGGTGTAATGTGACTATCCGAGCAGCATGGCTGTTGGCACTCCCGGTGCCTCGGCTGGGTTGTTGTATGCCAGTGGTGATTGTGAATTGCGGTGCCTGCTAGTCCGTATGATCGTGTTGTCGGACACACCAGCTGCCTTCGGGTGAGACCATTGTTGCCAGTACACAATGGTTTGTGTATGTCTTGTTCAGCCGTGCCCAGTAGCTGATGTTTTCAACTTTTCGTATTAACTTTTAAATTAGGTTCCGTCATGGTCGGGCGGGCCGAACCAGGTGCAAACCAGTTATGGGCTATTCATACTATACTAGGGCTGAGTCGGGTAGCATTTTCTTCAGGTATTGGGTTCGGATAGTGAACTTTGTGTTGCCTTCAGAGTCAGTCAGTCAATCCTCGGTAGTATAGTGGTAAGTATCTCCGCCTGTCACGCGGAAGACCCGGGTTCGATTCCCGGCCGGGGAGGACATTCTTTTTTTTCTTTTTTTAAAAACTTTATGATTGCTTATAGTTGTAGAACATCAGTACCGTCGGTCAGTCACAGTGTCAGTGTTGTGCAATGTTATCGCATGAGCTGATTGTTAAGTAACTGGTGGTGTTAGTGGACAGTATAGCGTAACTTGTATTTTCTTGGTCCTTTTTTCTTTACTATAAATTTATCCTTGGCTCTCTATCTGAGTCCATTCTTTATTCTTGCCGTTATCTTTTGTTGCATGTGTTTCCTGCAGTGCAGTCAGTGACCATCAAGACTCAAAACTCTGCAATTATTGACAACATGCTGAACAGATTTGAAATGACAGGAGCGACGGGGAAGGCCATCGTAGCCAGCAGAGAGCCGTCAACACCACAGTGACACAACAGAAGAAGACCATACAGCACATGTCGTCATGGTCACCAGCTACTGTAAGACAGCTAATATTCGGCGCATATTTATTTTCGGCTGTTTTCGGCCTAGTCATGTGTGGCCGAAAATTTGTTGTCGCCGAAATTTTTTGCAAGGTTCAGTGTAACAGTGTACAGGTCCTCCCTCGTTAGTAGATAATCTCTGGGCCATCGAAAAACTTATCTTATAACGAGACTTATCTTGTAGCAGGACTTGCAGCTAAAGGTGAAATAGGCACTACTTCGTACTTACCGGGGCTACCCTCAATACAACATAAATTATCGATGCTTCAACTCGTTATAAGATAATTGAAAATTTCCAAGTTACTCCAACATAACTCTTCCTTGGATGCAAAGGATCGTCCATATTCACGAATACATAGACATAATACGTTTCCTCTTTCTGCTTTATCCTACGTGTTTTGGCCTTGATCCTGCATGGTCAATATTATCTTATACTGAGGGTTTGGCACTCCAGGGACCTGGGCGAAGGGTCGTTATAATGAATTTTATGTACTAACGGATTATGTTGTAACCGGACCTGTAAACAGTTGTATAGACCACGTTTCGCCAGGGGATTTCAGATTTCTATTTACTAACGGGGTTTATGTAGTAACCGGACTCGTTATAATGAGGGAGGACCTGTATAAAGGAAGTGCCGGCCGAAATATTAATGCAGCCGAAATGTGTTTTAGTCCTGGATGGCCGAAATTTGACCAGGCCGAAAACCTGCAGACTTACAGTATGTACTGTAAAAGCCATTATTCTAACGAGGCGCATATATGGGGCCACAACCAGCTAAAACATGTCTTAGAGTGAAATTTTTCAAATTTTGTTTTCCTCCAGAAAACAGTTCTTGGAACCTTACTTGACCTCTGGAAGGTGATACAGGGCAGAAAAGTAGTCTACAAGTGCTCCAAACACCGCTTTCAAAATATGTACTTTGAAATAGAAAATGACAGTTTTCGCGCAGTATGACACAAAGAGACAAACTATTACTTAGTGGCTTTTGTGGCGGAGCACAATACAACGGAACTAAAGATGTTGACACAGACTTGAGCATGTCAACGACATCAGTTCAAAGGCATGGCCCAAGTTATTCCTGGAAAGCACCACGATGCTCTGGGAGGCGTTGCACTTGCATACTCTTTCGATTCTGGCAGTGACACTTTCGATTGTCGCCTGCGCTTTCGAGACTGCATCAGACGACTCATGAAAGCTGAACGGCAAGTAACGTCGTAAGGCAGCCCATTCGCCGCCTAATGATTATGTACTCGCCCACAACTTGTGCCTCTTCGCTACTGGAGACGACGGGGACGATTCAGCTTCGCTGTCGACATCAACATCACTGAGATCCCAATAAATTGTCAGCGTCGCTCTGCAGACCCGCCGCCACGGACTTGCTGACACCTGACCAAACCTGGGCCATGCACAGCGATCGTCTGGCGCTGCGAGCTGCTCTAGTGTCACTAGATACGAACATTGTCAGTCTTTGCTCGCCAGCCACTTGAACTAGACCGCCAAACAAGTGTTTGATCAAAATTTGAGAAGATTATCGCCACATCATGAACGAAGTGCAGAGTGAACGTGCTCGAAAAAAACATTTCCTTTCATTTCGTCATTTCTCAACTTTGCGGCCCATATAACGATTTCCCAAAATTGACTGATTTACATGTACCAAAGGTAACGATTCTCACTCATTCTCAACACTCAATAGGACAGTATATGTATCGATTTCTGTATAACGATTTCTATTTTAACGACAGATTTCTCCTCGTTAACTCGTTAGAGTTAGCACTTCGTTATATATATGGCTTTTACAGTACTTGTATGTAGTCAGGGCATTTGCTCTGGATTGTGAGTTGAAGATTTTGAGTACGGTAGAGACGAGAACCTACTGTGCTCAAGTGCCTGGTCAACGAGTATTGCCTTTCCCATGCCGTGTTTAAAAACAGTTCAGAGTAGAGCCTACACGCTCTCTTCCACTGCAATAGTTCAACTCATTTCACAATAATCATTCCAACGTTTCGGCAAATTGCCTTCATCAGGTTCACAATGTTTAAAAAGACGGAGGAAATCCCCTTTTTTGGCCGTTTATACTGTTAAGGAGGCTCCAACCTTCTGCGCTGCGCAGCCGGTCTGGCGCACTGTTTTTTGCAGGCAAAAGTCTTGTTTTTGCCGATAAGTGCGAAAAGTTGGGAAATTCCCATCTCAACTTACTAAAATTTGAACTCCGCGATCGACAGTCATATCAGAGAATATTGTTTCATTCTTCACCTGTAGTCTTCCCTGGGCCCCATCGAGGTTCCTCTTGTTTTCTCTTCCGTTGTGTCAGTGGGTATCAGGGCATGTTTTCAAAAGCATCGCTGGTGTGAGCAAGAAGTTGACTTCACAGCTCGATTTCTCGAGATCCTGAATAATTTTGCTTGACGAAAAATGACCAAGGAGAACGGAGCCAAGCGTCTCGATGGCTGTATAACACCAGGGACCAAAACCTACTGTAAGCGAGTTTGGGAGAGAGAGACTGAAGTGGGTGCACAGACTCTGGTAAGTGGATCCACTTCTAATTCTCAAGTGGCGAAATAATATTATATTGCTACGCTGAAAACATTGCAGTCTGGAGTGAGTGGTAAATCGTTGGTGAGCTACTGCTCAGTGACTTGGGCTATTTTATTTACGAAAGCTGTGACCTGTCAGCTGCCAACGTCGCCAGCAGTAAGTCATCACCTGCGTCCACTTGAATTATAATGTGCATAAAATGCAGCACTGAAAATTGAGTATGTTGTTTTGCAGTACTATTCTCTATTGTCAGAGTGTGAAGTATTTTGTAAATGTTGTGTTGTACAGCACCAGTGATTTGAAAATATTCCTACACTACTCGCACCAGTTCTATTATGATGAATGCATGCACCTGTACCCATAAGCACCATGTGCATGCACATACGCAGGCACGAGTGTGAGCCTACATGTTATGAGTGTGTGTGCACGCGCGCGCGCGCAGTACATGTTGTGTGTGCGCGCGCGCGCGCACGCGTGCACAAGTGCAGGGACAGCAGATTATGGTAACTAAGCTCAAGAGCATGCATTTTACATGTGGGTGTATGCTGGTGCGCGTATATGACGTACATGTATGTGTGTGTGCAAGGGGTACTTGATTGTGAGTGTGAGTATGTGCATGTAAGCGTACATGTACATGTATGTATCGATGTGGGCAATGTGCATGCACCCACATACACTTGTGGTTGTTCCATGTTATTGGGAATAGTGTTATGATTATACCTAATGGATGCTACAATTACTAGCAGTCGTTCATTGCCAATATTGAGTTGAACCTGCATCTACATTGTACATGTACTACAAACGTGAAACTGTGAAGTTATTGGCCCAGAATATAATAATTGTTATCCTCCTCAAGCTCTTTGCCTGTTGCTTTATGAGAAATACTAGGAGTGAACTATTGCAAGAGTTGTGTTCAGGGTCAGTAGGCCTCGGCCTGGATCATGAACAACGTTGTGCATGGATCATGCCGATATCCAGATCAAGGGCTAAAAAGCCCAGGAACCATGGCCTCATCTAGTCTCCATGTGTACTATAACAATCTGGGGGACCATTCAATGCTTTTGACACCAAAAATTGGAGTAATACCACAAGGAATGCATGGAATGATCACCTTACCTGAAAAATAGCAATTCCAAGAATGGTGGAAAATCGGCCAATTTTCTGTCCTATTTTTATTTTTGGAGGTCTAAAATGCACGGTAACCCCCTTAAAATTATATATTTCTAGTTTCTATGAAGTATGGGGATCCCAAAAATTTAATAAAAAGGGCATGTCCATGAAGAAATTATGAAGCTGTGCACCCAATTGTACTTTGCGGACGGGCATTTCTGCGAAGTTCATTTTTGTACCAAAATTACTATTTTTCTGAGTAGTCAATGCTGATTGCCAGATTTTCTTGCTCAAATGCTTCACTGTGATGTGTGAAAGGACTTGCAATCACAAAGAGAAGCCAGACAACTGGTAAATCTGAAATATGACCCCAAAACAAGCAAATTTAGGCCGAAATCGATAAATACACCCACCCCTAGAAATACACCTCAAACAGCCTTATCTCCGCGGAAACACCCCCTGAATTTTTTTGTGGAGTAACATGGGATGATATAGAGCACACTCATCCACAAAAAGGAGGGGGTTTATGAAGAAAAAAAATCACCCCCAAAGGGTTGGAGCCTCCTTAAGTTTGCAGCTCCTCTTGTTTTGTCCTGTCCTGCTGCACTGTGTCTTGCAGCTGCCATCACCATGGCTCAAAGTTTCCAGCAGGCACAGCTGATCAACACTACCGAGCGGTTCTGATCAGGTACGTATGTGACATCCAGGCAATTGCTAGCCGGTAGACAGTACTCTCTCCGGAGATTTGGAACGCCGGGCCCTGTGCACGTGACCACGGCAACGTACGTAGATCCACAGTCACGCACTCACGATACGTCTTGCGCTTGCGATAAGTCACACACTCGCGATAAGTCACACACTCGCCATAAGTCACGCAATCGCCATGAGTCACACACTCGCGATAAGTCGTGCAATCGCCATAAGTCGTGCACTCGCGATAAGTCGTGCACTCACGACAAGTCACGCAATCGCGATACGTCTTGCACTCGCGATAGGTCACGCACTCGCCATGAGTCACGCACTTGCCATAAGTTGCGCACTTTTGATATCCGGACGGTATGCACCTTTGTATTTGTATACACTACTTTTAAGCCACACACTCGCGATATTTCATGCCTTTTTGTCTTCAAGATCGGGTGCACGACTTATCGAGAGTAGACTGCAAGGAGATCCGATGTGTTGATGCTGTTCTATTGTTTTTTGTTTGTTTGTATTCTTTATTTAGAGTGGGAAGTCCGAAACAGGCCCTAGCCTAATAACAATGGTCCCACTAGTGAGGGAATGCTGTATATCTGTGCATAAGGATCAGTCTATGAATAGGTAGCTGAAAGTTTTGATTGAGATAGACTCAACTTCGTGGATCCAATCGGTAACGTGTTGCCCTCGAATGCCCGACCAGAATGTTGTCTTTGTTAGGCCTGGTTAGAACAAAATATCAGGTCAACCCTCATTAGTACGACATCGTGAGTCAGTCAAGTGAGAATTCAACTCGGCAGGAAAAGCGCGAGCTCCCATGTAGAGAGCAACACACAATTCCCGCAGTATCGCCGAAGTCGCACCAACCTCTTCTTCATCAGTTTCAACTTACAAACCTAATTAGAAGAGAATGATCAAAAATCGACTGCCGCCTGAAAAGCGTACATTCACGTCCGGATAGTAGAGGGTGGTCACTGGTGGCGTTCCCACGGTGGATGCGGAAAACTCGGCTTCCAGCCCAGTCTCACGCGAACCGTGAAATGTTTAATTTATTTAGTAGATAATACTCGTTATAAGACAACAAATTGAAACCCCCGGGTTATCTACTAACAAGGGTAGACCTGTGCTGAAAGCTCTGTACGGGGTGGTACGTGTCCACTGGTGTCTTGGGTCTGGTTGTCTCGCCTCTGTAGTGCGTTTGATCGGGCTGCAACGGGTAGCGATTTGGTCGGGTAACGGGTTCGGGTATTTTTATCCGGATAGCACGGATAGCCAATCGAATATTTTTTGACGCAGTTTGTACTGTGAGTGTGCACTTGCGCTACATAGAAAGTGTACAGTGAGCACGTACCCGTACTGTTTACATGCGCTGTTGCAAAAACGCCGTACTCAACTACCCGATCGGGTTCCCGGGAGCAAATTGCTGCCCTACTACATCATTTACCCGATCAAATTCCGGGTAGCACTGGTACCCTACTACAGTCAAACCTCGCTTAACCGCACACATCCGTTTTCCACAGAAATATCCGGATAGGCGAGGGAACCGGATAATCGAACACACATACTGTGTGTATGCATGGCAAATGCTGTAAATCGGTAACCAACAATTTTCTTCCGGATGGCGAGGGATCCGGATAAAAGAGGACCGGATAAGCGAGGTCCGACTGTACCCGTTGACACCCCTACCAGTTTGATAATGTACCATGCACATGACTTCTGAATACTAGCCAGCCCAGCCTGGCTAGTTTCCATGCAAGTTGTGGAATTTATCATCTTTTCGACAGGATGTGCATGCACGGCCTACCCATTACTAACTACAGTTGCGCTCGCTGGAATCTGACCCGCGGTGGAACGCTGGCGCCCAGGACACGTCCCACTTACATCATTGTATTTGTACATGTGAACGTCCAGCTAGCCGCATTCGTGCCACTTCCAGGACGTCGACGACCGTGCAAGTTCATTGCGCCAAATGTGCACTCTTGTTCGGATTTCACCGAGCACAACTCTACTCAGTAGTGGACTGAAAACTTCTGGCATGTACACGTACACTGTGCTGATCAAATTTGCATCGGTGTAGTGAATTGTCAGTCAATCCTCGGTAGTATAGTGGTAAGTATCTCCGCCTGTCACGCGGAAGACCCGGGTTCGATTCCCGGCCGGGGAGGACATTTATTTTTTCCTTTTTTTTGTATTAGTGTTGAGTCGGCATCAGCTTGGAAGAGTTTGTTTGATTGCTGCATAAAGTAAAACCAAGAGTACATAACCCCCCAGAGTGTGCAACGTCTGGTCCAGCTCTGCATAGGGTCTTGGTTGAGCGTAAGGGCCGGGTTCCACTGCGGCTCCGCTGCTCCGCGGCACTTGGCTGCATGCAGCGGAGCAGCACGGTTCCACTGTCACTCGCCATTCGCGGTACCGCGGTCGTGGTCCACACTTTTTGATGACGTTTCACCTGCCTCGCGCGCGAAATCAAACAAATCCTCGTGTTCTGGCCTGCGCAACGAATTAAAATTTGAATTTTAAAATTCTGGCGTACAAAACAATGCAAAGTACGGGAAACAGGTCGAGCCGCGACCGCAGCTCACAGTTTTTGGTCAAGAATCGTAGCAAAAGCTCGCGGTGAGCCGCGGACTCGCTGCTCCAGCTCGAGCCGCGGTCACTATGGTAATGATGACGTTTCAAGCCGCGAAAGACGAGCAGCGGGGCAGCGGAGCCGCAGTGGAACCCGGCCCTTAGGGCGCGTTCAGACTACCGTGAAAAGCGATAAACCGTGAAGGACATTCACACTACCGATAAACTAACGTTACCGGTACGTACGTTTTGCAGCTCTCGCCGCAGCGCTGAGAAGGGATTTTCCCTTTTTCCCAGCGCGCATGCAGCCTGAGCACTTTTTTTACTGCCGGGAAAAGTTTACTGCCGCAGCAGCCGCGGCAGTAAAACTTTTCCGCCGGTAACGTGCCAGTAACGTCACGTGATCAAATCACCTTGGCAACTTTTCCATTCCGTCACTTTTTATCGGTAGTCTGAACGCGCCCTAATCGGATCTAGCGTCATAATACCGTACAGATCTGAGCGGACCCAGGGAGTTGCGGGGACTCTCGTATCAAAAACAAAAGTGCCCTGCCTCGAGACTGGCCTTGCGCTGGTGTGGGGCGTATGCATAACACCAGAAGATCCGACTATGCTAGATCAAGATCTTATGCAGAGCTGGATCAGGCGTTGCACACTCTGGGGGGGGGGGGAGGGGGGGGGGTATGTACTCTTGGTTAAACCTATCACGGCGACCACTCGGATAAGGCGACCACCTGTCCCAGAAGACCACTGCGACTAGGACCAAGGAATGCTATTTCCAGTCAAATGACCCTGGATTAGCGGACCACCTGGTACCAGAGACCTCGTTTTGAGGATCCCTTTGGCATTCATCTCAGACAGGTCTCACTGTAACTGTTACAATATGAAGGAGATGGTAGCCTGTTTGTCTATTTTCGTTTCCTGTTCTCCGTTTCCCCCAATGCTACAGGGTTTGATGTGGATGAGGACCATGTCACCAACTTCTGCCCTGCTTCGTTCTGATGCTCCGTCATCGGTATGTACATGCCTGTATTCAACAACACGCGTGGGTACACTCAGACGTCTCTTATCCGAGCACCTTGGGACCGGGCACTGCCCGTATCTCAGATTTTCCCGTATCTCAGGATAACTCATCTACCATGTATCATTATCATTTTTGAAGAGGTTTTTTTTGGCGCATATTGCACATGTTCAGGTTACAAAAATAATCCATGGATAAAAATGTGTGGATTACACAGGTTGGCAGTGACAAATAAGCACTTGTGCATTCGGAAAAAAAGTTCAACCCCCCCCCCCCCCCCTCCCCAAAATACGAAGCATTTTTGCCATAGGAACTCAAGCTGACGGTGGCCGGTAGAGAGAGACGTGCCCGTATCTGAGGCGTCCGGATAAGAGACGTTTGAGTGTGCATGCTTTTAGTTTGCCAGCATGTTACAAGGCGGTGGAACACCGTGTTCGGAAACAGTGACACTACAACCGTCCACGGTTGGTAGAGCCCCGGTCTTGGGACTCCCCTTAGTAGCTCCCCTAGTGTACTGATGGTCAGAACCGGGCCTAGCACCCATACGGTTCAGATGGTCGCGCACGACCGGGGCTCTACCAACCGTGGATGGTTGTAGTAAGGTCACTGTTTCCGAACACGGTGTTCCAATACAAAGTTTATCTAATACCATAATGTGTGTATATGTATATGTATGGGAAGTTTGGTTTGGTTTTTGTAAATACCCTGCGAGAGCTTCCCACTACCTCATCCTTTCGTGGTCGTGTCGTGGAGGTGGTGTCCTGTCTGTAGGTCATACAGCACGTGCCTTGTACTCGCACTGCACGTTGTAGAGTCAATCCGTACTCAGTTTGCCTTCGAGCGGATGCGAGCTCTACACAAGAATATTCTAACAGTGACCTTAACACACTAGATATCCTTAGCTAAAAAAACGCTAACGTAAACGCAAACCTTTCCGTACTTCGGATCGTTCAAGCTGACTTTTCCCTTAGCACAAAGTACGTTATAGTTGAGACGAAGTAGCCGTGACAACCATGGCGATATGAATTTTCGTGGAAACAGATGCGGGAAATTCAAAATTTTGAACCAGGGATTAGTTTGCTGTCGTTCCGAAAGAATACCTTGGCGAGGTCTTTTACTCTGGAATAGCAAAAGCACGGCGAACATGAGTTTTCGCTGTTCCCAGGTCCTTGGAAACCCTTTCCTAAACGCAGCACCGAAGACTGTAAGGGTTCTCCAGCTCCAGCACGTCTGGGAGAGGCCGATGAATTTCTTCCTCAGGAGTGCCGTGGAACTGGTCCTTTGTTTCCCAGATGGGATAGAGGGAGAAAGGCACGAAGCAGAGGACGCAGAAATTGTCAACTGAAAGGCAAAACTCGCCAAAAAGCTAAATGTCACAAGAGGAAGCAATCTCGACTCTCGATCTCATCTCGATCTGCACGACGTGCTTTTTATCTCGCGCCAGTTACAAAACAATGCGAGTTTTTGCATTTTTTGCAGAATTTTCATAACGAACGTCGGCCCGTTATTTTGAGCTCTGTAACGTTTTTCCGTTATCCGATAACGTCTTTTGTCACGGCTGGGAGTGAGTACCGTAAAAGTTAGCGTTATCGTACTTTTGCTAAGGATGTCTACTATGGTTCTCACACTGTACCAACCTTGTTGCACTCTGCCATACGATTTTCTTTCCCCCCCCCCGGCTATAAAGTCAAGGTGGGACGCTCTCGCGAGACGGGGCCTCTCGCGGGACGGGGCCCTCTTGCGAGACCGGGCCCTCTTGCGGGACAGGGCCCTCTTGCGAGACAGGGCCCTCTTGCGAGACGGGCCCTCTTGCGAGACGGGCCCTCTTGCGAGACGGGGCCCTCTTGTGGCACTTAACGATACACGTATGTGCACTGACCCGGGTTGAAAACTCTCATGTAAACACAGCCTATATTCGCCCTGTTTGCCCTCTGCTCATGCATGCAAGTTACACCGCATGACACAACTCAAGTGGCTTCCCCTTCTGCCCCTGCACATACAACCCCCCCCCTGCATTTGATCTAATTACATCCCTTGTTGGTGTGCATGTCCGGGCCTTATATGTCCGACAAATATTTAGACGTGCCAGCATACTGCACCACTTCCGTTCACCGTACGATGTATTCCATAACCGGGCGAGAGGCAACTTCTTTTCCCTTTTGTATTTGGTTCTTCGTATTGTCCAGGGGAGTATATTCTACTCTTTGTCAAGTGCACTTCCAGTCTCATTACATTGGCACCGAACTTTTGCTCTGAATTTCCCACGCCCTGCTCTGCCGGCTCTTCTTGATACTGTAAGTCAACAAATTTTCAGCCCATTCAAATTTATGTCGCGAATTCAATATTACGTAACATTCGCGAATGCTAAAATAACTCAGTTTGAATGTTTCACGTAACTTTTCTCCATTTTTTTTGTCTATCGCCATATTTGCCATGGCGATGTGCAGTGCTGGCAGTTTTTCATGCGCATGCTTGATCCTTGGCTTTGGCGATCATTTTTTGGCTTGCTGACTACACTCGAGGAGTTTCAGTTTTCTTATCCTAATGGTACGTCTGACGACGATCAAGTCCAATCCTTGTTGCTCTGTGTCTAATGTCAGTAACAATTAATCCAGTAATGATAGAGCTACAATTGTAGAGCTCTCTCGACTCAGTATTTTGTGAGTGGCAATCAGGCCGGGAAATTCAAACTGTATTTATGCCACCACAAACTGGTGCCGAAACCCGGGATTTGATAATTTAGAGCCATGAGCTCCCCGGCTGTTACTTCGAGACTTTCTCCGAAGCAGAGAACTGACAAGAAGTTATTGGACAGAAAACATGCTGACCTGGAAAAGGACCTTGAGAAGTCAGATGAATTCTCAGCGTACCGAACAACTCCCAACGATCAACTGGAAGACGCCATAGCAAAGCTAAGTCCTTTTTTGATTGAATTTCGTACCTCTGTCTCTTCTTATGGGAAGGTGTGTGAATCATTTGGGGATAGTCTGTCAAACCCTGCGGAAGACGTTGAGGCTGCTGTTGACTGGCACCTAGACCAATTTGTCCAACTTGAGAGACGAGTCCTCTCTTTGAATGCTACCCTCTCGTACTTGGAGAGCAGACGCCCCTCAACTCAAAATGTACAACAGCAAGTACCCTCGCAGGATGCTGCCACAGCAGCACTCATTAGCACCATGGAATCTTTGATAAAGGTCCAGACCAGTCAGCAGCAACAGCAACCAGGTCCAAGTACCAGTACTAATTCTAAGACCACAGCCAATGTTTCGTTACCGAAACTTTCATTGCCTACGTTTGATGGGAATGTCATGAAGTATGCTGAATTCTCAGATATGTTCCGTTCTTGTGTTGATAATAACTCACTGTTATCTAATGCCGAAAAGCTCACGTATCTCAAGTCTTGCCTCAGGGGGGATGCACTAGACGCAGTGTCTGGTTTCCTATGTACGGATACAAACTACCAACCTGTTGTCGATATCTTACAAGAAAGATTTGGTAATACTGAACGGGTCATTCATGCTCGTTACACTGCACTCATGGGTATCCCTGCTTGTTCAAACAAAACCCAGTCCATCAGGTCATTCTACGACCAAGTTGAAGAGCAGTTACGCTCCTTGCAAGCATGTGGACAGGATATCAACCAAAGTGTATTTGTATCGATGATATTGTCAAAGCTTCCCCAGCATGTTGTTCTCCAGTTGGAGTTGAAGAAAGTTAAAGTTCACTGGTCGGTGAAAGATCTCCGCAAAGCAATTCAGGAATATCTCATGGCCAAAGAAGCAGCAGAGGCACAGTCCTCACTGGCCACACCAAATCCGCCGAAACATACGGAACACAAACCGAGATCAACGGCAAATCAGTCTGCTGCTGTTTTGTTAGGCAATTCACGTCCCACCGAACGGCAACCACGGTGTCACTTTTGTCAAGGCAAACACTTTTCTGACGAATGCAGTACATACACGTCTGTCGATAGTCGAAAAGCCAAGCTGAATGACCAGTGTTTCCGGTGCCTCCGAAAGGGACACCCAGCGCGAGCGTGCTCTATTTCTCGTCTTTGCTACCATTGCAGACAACCCCATCACCGTAGCCTGTGTCCGCAAAAGTTTGCAACAAGCGCATCCACTCTGAATGCTGATGCCGAGGCGTACACTCCACAGCATACTTTAATAGCACTAGGCGAGCACACTTTCATGCAGACGGCAGTCACTACAGCACATCATGGAACCGGACAGTGTGAAGTACGGATTCTTTTTGACACTGGCGCAACTAGGTCATTCATCACATCTAAGGCACGTGACATTCTTAGCTCACCGACGATCCGCAAGGACACCTTAGCGACATCAGGCTTCGGTAGCTCCGACAGAAGAATTCAGTGTCTAGATGCCACGGAAGTACTTATCAAGATAGCAGATGGATCGAAAATGCCACTGTCACTAAATGTTGTACCGGTTATTTCCAGCCCGATTTTGAAAGTGCCGGTAGTCGTGAAGAACCGCCCTGAACTAGCAGGCTTCCGTCTAGCTGAACCGTTGTGTGAGTCAGAAGAACGTGTCAGCATTGATATACTGATAGGAGGAGATTACTACTATGACATTCTCCTTAGTGACCGAGTAACCTTCTCCGATGGACTCATTCTCCTCAATTCAAAGCTAGGCTACATCCTCGCAGGCAAGTCATCAGAGAAGTGCAGCGAGGCCCAAACCCTGTTCGTGGATAGCGAAACGCCTGATCCACTCCAGCGATTTTGGGCTATAGAAGACGACACAACCACAGTAAATGCTTCAACTAGCGACACTGAAGCCATGCATGCTTTTGAAGATAGTATCACTCAAGACAACAACGGAAGGTATGTCGTCAAGTGGCCTTGGCGCTCTAACTCGCCCCCACTACCGAACAACTTCGGTCTTGCGTACGGTCGCCTGAACTCACTACTCAACCGTCTCAGGCAGGAACCGTCGAAGCTTCGAGCCTACAATGACATCCTTGCGGAACAGCTAAAGCTAGGTGTAATCGAGGAAGTCGACAGTCAAGGAAGCCAGTTCCTCACCCATTACTTGCCGCATCACTGCGTCGCAAAGGATAGCACTACGACAAAGCTCCGTCTTGTATACGACGCTTCCGCGAAGTCGTCTCCGAACAGTCCATCACTAAATGAATGTCTTCACCGCGGTCCAGTACTGTTACCAGATCTCGCCGGCGTTCTTTTGAGGTTCCGCCTTGAACCCATCGCTGTCTCTAGTGATGTAGAGAAAGCATTTCTCCAACTTTCGCTCGCTAACGAAGATCGAGACGTCACGAGATTCCTATGGGTTCGAGATCCTTTCCAGCCACCCGCTGGAGGAAATATCATCACGTATCGCTTTTGTCGAGTACCATTCGGAGTTATCTCGAGCCCTTTCTTGCTCGGAGCTACCATCCAACACCACCTTGAATCATCCGGTAGCCCAGAGGCATCCAACATCATGCAGAATACGTATGTTGACAACGTCCTTCTTGGTGTAGACTCCGTCTCGACTGGTATCAACCTCTACCATCACGCCAAGTCAGTCTTCGCCGATGCCTCCATGAACCTCAGACAGTGGTCCTCTAACTCAGCAGCCCTCATAGAGAGCATCCCAGAATCAGATCGTTCGTCTGGCGAACACCAGAAGGTCCTTGGGCTAGATTGGCACACTGTTACTGATCACCTCAAAGTAGCAAACACATCAGCGTCGGACACACTAGTCCGAACCAAGCGCGAGTTACTTCAGGCCGTAGCTCAGTTCTTCGATCCACTTGGCATCCATTCGCCCATCGTCGTGAAGGCCAAGCTACTCTTACAGGAAGTGTGGCGGCAGAAGCTCCAATGGGACGAAGCACTCCCAGTTTCTATTCTCCACACGTGGAAAACTCTCGCTGCAGAACTCGACGATGCTACAAATCACAGCATCCCACGTCCATGCTGCATTCCAGAAGCCGACCAACACACACTTCATGTCTTCTGCGATGCTTCGCAAACTGCCTATGCTGCAGTTGCATACTTGTCATCATCGTCCGGATCTGCTACTGAATCGCACCTCATTCTTTGTAGATCTAAGTTAGCTCCGCTCAAGCCCTCTCCGAAGTTAACCATCCCAAAGTTGGAACTCATGGCAGCAGCACTTGGTGCTGATCTCATCGCCTTCTTGAAAAAGCAGCTCCCGATTAATCTTGATCACATTATTCTATGGTCCGATTCTACATGTGTGCTAGGATGGATCAACAGTCGCAAGGACTTACCTTCCTTTGTCCAGCGTCGAGTCGCTCGGATACGTAAATCTGAAGCCGAGTACCGCTACGTTCCTTCGCGAGACAATCCAGCTGATCTCCCGTCGCGAGGAACATCTTCTCACCTCTCCGAAGAGTCCATCTGGTGGCACGGCCCAGAGTGGTTGCAGAACCCACTCGTTCCAGAACCTGAACAGCCCAATACGGAAGAATCGAGGTCTCCGTCCAAAAAAAAAGGAGTTAGTCCACCCTCGGTTTCATTACATCCGCTCAAAAAAAAGGGTGTAGTGATCCTATTGAAGCTGTCTCTCTTGTTGTTGGGGAAGATCCTTCGGAACCATTTGATCTAAGCGCGTCGGACTTCTCAACAATGGGTCGACTTGTGCGTGTCACAGCATGGGCTCAGCGTTTCATCCGAAACTGCAGAAAATCAGCAACCAAGAAACTTAAAGATCAGCTCACTGTTCCCGAACTGTGTAGTGCACGCAACCTGTGGCTGCAGTCATCCCAGAGAAACCACTGTACCGACGTAGTATCAGCCATCCGGGAACAAAGGAAGAACAACACAGTACAGTCTCTTCGTCTCTACATCGACGACAGAGGACTCATCCGAAGCCGTGGAAGACTTGAACATGCGAACCTTCCACCTAGCTCTAAGTTCCCCATTTTCTTGCCTCATAACTCAGCTGTAACACGCCTGCTCGTCGAAGAGCATCACCGCATCCTCATGCATCCTGGAGTGTCGCATACTCTTGCTAGTATAAGGGAGAAGTACTGGATCCCTAAAGGCCGCAGTACCGTAAAGACCATCCTAAAAAAGTGCATCACATGCCGTCGAGCTGAAGGTGGTCCGTTTGACATGCCAGCAATGGCTCCATTACCACCGGAAAGAGTCAACGTAGCAGAAGCATTCCTATACACCGGCGTCGACTACTTTGGTCCTCTCTTCGCGAAGACAGCTGAAGCATCGGTAAAGGTTTGGGTAGCCCTCTTCACATGCCTATCAACACGCGCAGTCCATCTCGAGCTTGTCACGGATATGTCTTCAGAGCAATTTCTACTAGCCTTCCGCCGTTTCGTATCACGTAGAGGTGTGCCCAGAGCGTTGTGGTCAGACAACGCGCCACAGTTTAAAATGACGAAGACAACCCTCGACAAGGCTTGGAAGGAGGTGATCAGCGACCCAGCAGTAGCCGACACCATCACGGCACGCGGCACCGACTGGCACTTTAGTGTGCAGCACGCCCCTTGGATGGGTGGAATTTATGAGCGAATGGTAGGGCTTGTGAAACGCGCTCTCCGCAAGACTGTCAGATCAGCCCACCTGACCCCAGACCAGTTGCGGACATTTCTTACTGAAGCGGAGGCCGCAGTTAACAGTCGGCCTCTCGTTTACGTGGGGGGAGACACACCTATGGCTAGCACTGATGTGATCACACCTTCCCACTTTCTATCTTTAAAACCTAATTTAATGTTTCCTGAGTTAATTGATGAACAGAATATCTACCCAGACTTTTTGTGTCGCCTTTCTTCTGCCTCTTCTTTGTTACAGGGGTGGAAGAAAGGCCAAGCCCTCGTCAAGGACTTCTGGACAACTTGGCAACGGGACTACCTGCTAAGTCTCAGAGAGCGCACCAGTGCTGGACGCCACAAGCGAGGCACAGAAACCTACGTACCCAGAGTCGGACAGCCGGTCCTCATGGGTGACAGCCAACCACGCGGCACGTGGAAGCTAGGCGTAGTCCAAACCATCCACACGGGGAAGGACAACGTCACTAGGTCTGTGACACTCAGGACCACTACAGGCAAGTCGTTGCAGCGCCCAGTTAGTACCCTGTATCCACTAGAATGTGAGTTACCCGATAGTGTGGATGTAACATGTGAGGATGTACCTTCACCAACCCCAGTACCATCTCAAGATGTGCATACACCTGCTGTTGATGTAGCGTCCACCATTAATACCAGACCGCAGCGCAGAACTGCAACACAGAGCCGGCGTCAAACGGTCGCTCTGAGAGACTCCAATCTTGTGTAAACACCACTCGTTCGAGTCAGGTTACAATAACACGGATGATTTCTTGCAATATGTCAAGCTGAGAACCAATCTCAGACAATCCGTTTGCTTTCAGCTCTCCCATGTATTCTTGCTATTTCAGTCAGATTCTCAGTCGCAGTATTTCAGTCATACTGCTTTCAGCTCTCCCATGTATTGCTATTTCAGTCAGATTCTCAGTCGCAGTATTTCAGTCATACTGCTTTCAGCTCTCCCATGTATTGCTATTTCAGTCAGATTCTCAGTCGCAGTATTTCAGTCATACTGCTTTCAGCTCTCCCATGTATTCTTGCTATTTCAGTCGGATTCTCAGTCGCAGTATTTCAGTCTTACTGCTCTCAGCTCATGCTACGTCAGTGTAGCTTCCGATCCCCTTTATATTATGGCTATTTCAGTCTAGGTCTTAGTCAGACTATTGTCAACTGTACTGCCTACAGTTTCAGCGGCTGTGTGTTCGCTCAAATTCAGTTTTTTCTTCTTTCGTTCTTACGCTGCCTTCAAGCAGCTCAGCCTAGTTCTCAGTTTTCAGGTGTACTTGCCTACACTTCGATAAGTAACTTCAGTCCCAAGTCACTTGGACTCAGTGTCAGTACTCGCAAAGTTTTCAGTTACAACCACTTTGCCTCAGCACAATTTAGAATTTCTTTCATTTTCTACCTTTGTTGCATTCACCACATTTTTTCTCTCTTGCTGTCTCGGGAGTGTCGCGAATTCAATATTACGTAACATTCGCGAATGCTAAAATAACTCAGTTTGAATGTTTCACGTAACTTTTCTCCTTTTTTTTGTCTATCGCCATATTTGCCATGGCGATGTGCAGTGCTGGCAGTTTTTCATGCGCATGCTTGATCCTTGGCTTTGGCGATCATTTTTTGGCTTGCTGACTACACTCGAGGAGTTTCAGTTTTCTTATCCTAATGGTACGTCTGACGACGATCAAGTCCAATCCTTGTTGCTCTGTGTCTAATGTCAGTAACAATTAATCCAGTAATGATAGAGCTACAATTGTAGAGCTCTCTCGACTCAGTATTTTGTGAGTGGCAATCAGGCCGGGAAATTC